TATAAAAAATGCGGAACTCTTTTATTTTTATAAGGAACTGTAGAACTATGAAAAATGGAAACTGTCATTTACTGGAACTGTCATATATATTATTTTTTTTTATAATTTTATATTAATCGATTGTCGTGCTAACTTCACAGATATCCAAGAGTGGGATCTGTGAAGTTAGCACGACGTTCTATTAACATAAGAAAAAAAAGACAGTTCTAGTAGCACTTTTCATAGTTTTACTGTTCTTTATAAAAATACAAAAGTGTTCGGCAATTTTTATACTAAAATTGAAAATATGGCGTATTAAATTCGAATCTATCATGATACTTCCTCTTTAAAATACCTACAAAAACGGTTGAACTTTTGATCTGTATTCACTAGGACTTTTTTACTCAATAGTGTGTACTATCATTTAAATGCTGAATGGTTTTTTTAACACCCTGTATACACTCTGCATTTCGCGTTGTAGAGAAGGAGGAAAGAAGAAAGAAGAAATTCATTTGTCAGCGAAAAGTATTCTGTAATCGTGAGTTCTCGTACGTCAAACAAAGCTATACTATATATTTCTATACGATCAATTCCCTCTCCTTGCAATTCACTATCTTATTAGCATTCTCTCATCGATAACCGTAAGAGACATAGATCGCGCGTATACGAGATAATCACGCGGGCTCGCGCAATTACTCACGTAATCACAACGCGCTGTCTTACTCGTAATGAAATCGTCCAGTGGAAGAAAATAATAGTATTCCTGTCTCTTCTGGTGCCAAAGTTGTATACGCGCCAGTCAACCTGCGATCCGTGTATAATACTCTATATGGACAGAGGGATCTGGTCGTCCTGAAGTTCAATCTCCCGAACTTAATGATCCGGTGCGTGGTCGAGCGATCCGGAGATGACGGCGAGTGATATATCTATAATTAGGTGTCTCGGGCTTTAATCTCCCATTGGTTTTAATGAAAATCTCCACCCCCCGTTTTGACATACCCTAATTTCACATTTCGTTGGGACGCCGGCATGGTCCGGCTATCATTTTTTCTTTTCTTATATCTTTTTCTCCTTTTTTACTCTTTAAAATATTGAAGTACCGTGGGCGAACTAATAGATGGCCCGGGGGTACAGGATGAGCTTGAAGAATAGAGAAAGAGTAAGGAAATAAAAGAGAAGTCGGTTGCGCGAGGGTGCGGATAGCGCGAGAATATCCGGAGAAAGGAAAGAGAAGGCGAGGAGGGCCCGCAGGTTACGAGAAGGAGAGCCACAAGAATTGGTGAGTACGAGGGAGACGGACGGCGCCGAAAAAAGGAGTTTGCCAACAGCGCTGGGGGATGCCCCGAAAACACGCTGAACGTGTGGCGCCATTTCGGCTCCTTTTTTTCTCTATCTTCTCCGTCGTCGCTGATCCCTCCGCGGTTCCTCGTGCTTTTGTTTCTTCGCCCATACTAATTCTTCGCGAGCTGCACGGCGTGCTCGGAACGCGTGTAGGAAACGAACTGGAGTCCGTGAGAAGGGGCCGGAGGATGGGGACGAATCAGGCGGAAGGGGACTTACACGAGCTTTGCCCCATTCGTGATAAAGTAGCTCGTATTTAAAATAAGTCGATTTTTCTTTTGCTTTATTTCTTTTTCGCAAAAAAAATTTCATACGAATCTTTCCTACAGAAAGTATTTGAAGAAAGTAGCTTGCTCCAATTATTGACATTAAAACAATTTTCTTTTCTAAATCGAATTCTGTACGTGTTTTGGAAAGATACGTTTGCTTTAAAGTCCACTGTGTGAACTTGTTCTTATTTCGCATGGAGCTCTAAATTTACGTTGAATTGTGGAAAGAGGAAGTGAAGGTGGAAGTGATATAGGCACGAAGTAGCCCCACGTACGCACAGCACACGCGACTCGTGTGCGCGATACTGTAGGGCCCCCCCGGCATGGTGCGGTGGCCCCCGTGAGCGCGGACCACATACCTGCAAACGAATGCTCTTAAAAGGGAGGGCAGAGCCAAAGAACAGGTCGTTAAAATGTAATGACATTGTTGTTTTTAATGTTCGCCTCTTTAAAACGGTCCCTTTCGTCTTCCTCGAGCCTGCCAGCTACTTCTGGCGCTACCAGCCATCCCCCCTCTCGACCCGTTTGCCCGACCAAAACCCCTTTAGCACTCTTCCTCCTTTCCTTGTTTATGTGAAAGACAAAGAGGAACTAATTGCGAATTAGCCATCCTTTTTTCTATGGTATTGTTGCTCAGAAGTATCCCGTTATACGCTTTATCAATTTATCTGTGAAAGCATTTTTTAAGTTTCTCACGCTCAAAAGAATTATAGAACGTAAAATAATTCACAAGTAATCCTTCGACGAAGCTTTATCTTAAAAATAAAAATATCTGAGTTTTGCAATATTACATATTATATAATAACATAATGCCAAATACGATAAAGATATATGTAATTAAGATAATTGTGATAACATTTTTAAAAAGAGAAGACAGAGTATTTACTGAAATCTTGTAAAAAAAAATTAAGAATTCCTGAATTGAAGAGATTAAGGAATTTTTTAATACGACTTTAAAATAAAGAAGTGAAATTGAAATGTAAACAACGCAAATAAAGTATATATTGAAAATTAGTAGAAGATAGAGATTCTCTACAATAGATACAGTATTAACACTGTATGTATCATTTTCTATAATTGAAACCGCGAAACCTCTATAAAATAGTATAGAGAAGGAACAATATAATATCGGTGAGTTACTTTATTTTGCTGAGTATTAATTTCTACTGTCACTCTAATTTCTTTATAAAAACTCGCGAGTATGTAAATATATACGGATATGTACCATATTTATTATTAACTGATCAATTATCACTTTGCATTATAAAGAAAAAATGATCAAAGAAGTAATGTTTTCAGAAAAAGACAGAATTTAAATTTAAAGGTAAAATTCCAGAAATTTCTTTGAATTTCGATAAAATTCTATAAAAATCCCAGATTTTCGAAGATAAAAAAAGATACTCTCTGAAAAGTCCAGGTTTTTCCAAGTTTTTCCAGGTAATAAACATCTTGAAGTAAAACAAAAGGAAAATATAAAAAAGAGAAACATATAAGAGGGATGATAAGACAATATATCTAAAAGTTGTTAAGTAATCTCATCAAGATATCCTGGGAATTAAGCAATAAAAATTATATTGTTAACACTTAAATGTATAACTCTGCTAAGCATGTTCGTTATTTAAAGATAGAATTTTTAATCGAATGATTATTATTGTATCTGATTCTTCGTTGCTCGTCAATTGCTCAAAATACTTAAACACGTATAATTGGAGATTATCTTATAATCTTCAAAGTATATGTATTTAAGTAACAAATGGACTTTGTTGTTTCATTCCTGGAATGTCTTGATCTTACTTAACAATCTTTTGTTATTAAACGTAATAGATTTATTGCCTTTAATAACAATTTTTCTCACGTTCAAAATATTTTCCTAAGATAATCGGTACGCTCAACTCTGTTTAAGTAATCTTTTAATATAATATATAATTTATACCTCTAGATACGTCTTGATATTAGCCAAAAAACAATTAAAACTTAACATTCTCCATAAACATTTTCTATTAAAAGATTTAATCATAGTTCTAGCAAAGGTCTTTATTTGATATTAAAAATGAAGATATTCAAGAGAGAATATATTTTCAAGTATTTTATTTGTGAGAGACATTACAACGCTCGATAAGCGACGATGTCGATTCGGAATCTCGAAACGTTAATATTCTCACCTTGTCGAACTTATAAGACCGACCAATTAAGTCGGACGGTAGCTGTGAGCTGTGGACCAATCGTGGACAGTCTCCGTTAGAAAGGAACCGATTATGGGTTCGCTACCGCGCAACAGTTTAGCTTGGAACTTAACTGTTGCGTCTAAGAAGAGCTATCATTAAGTCCGGAATAGGGGTCCGGGCATTAGGATTAGTGGCCGAAACGTTTTGGATAGGCTTCTGTATCGCTCGAGTTCGTCCACGGGCCTCTCGCCCACGAAGGAGGAGGACCGCGATCATCGTAATTCGATCAGCTGGTGTTGGGTTCCTCGTTCATCGAAGCGGAGGTACCAGAGAGATTGTATTTGCGCTCTCGGAACACACATCAGCGGATACACATCATGAAGAAGAAAGCACAAACTTAGGGAGGATTTTAAGCCAGACCGTACTCGGTCCTTGTATCTAAAGATCCTTTCCCCTAAATTAGTCCAAGACTTGTAATTGTGGGATATATAATTGGCTTGACGAATATCGATGTTCATATGATTGCATTCCTCCTTCTCAATGAAGATAAAAAAAAGGAAAATGATACGCGTGAACGCCCGCGCCGTCACACTTCAAGTCAAGCCCAGAATTACAAATCTTGTGCTGCGTTAGGGGGTCGCGCTCTCTCTATCAGAGGTACTCTACCCTTGTTTTTGATAGAATGAGATACAATAGCTTTGATAGCGCGTTGATATACCTCAATCGCAGTTAAATGCAGACAACACTGATCTAAGTCGTTAACAATAGAATCGAGCAATGGGAATCTCTGAAGTTTTCACTATCCTTCGTCAATATACGCAGAATTCCGGAGCGATGAGAGTGCGTCTGTCGTCGTGTGTGCGCGTATAAGCATCGACGCGAGAGCTTCGCGTACATATGCATACGTACGCGGAATATACATGCATTCATGCACACACACACACACATACATACATATATGTACATGTACACACATGTGCACAGATACGCGAGAACGAATGCGCTTCAAATTTCGCAAGAGACAGACGAGCTCTCGCGCTGAACACGGACTCGCTTTCTGAGAGTTAGCGATTTCCGGAGCAGCTGGAGATCAAGCCCGAGTCGTAGCAGCCGATGAGAGGAGTCTATCTCAAAATACATAATGCGGGTTAAGGCTCGTTTGCGGAGGCTCGCTTCGCGATTTGGTCTCAGGTGTGCCAGAGAACCTAGGAAGCCTTGGCTTTCCCTTAGAGGGACTGTCACTCACCTCGGCGTACACGTCACCTTCGTTGTCGCTGTTTCGCCCGCGAACTGCGCACCAACACGTCGCCGGTCTCCTCGCGTGAGCACGCAGAGCAACAGGTATTCTAGTCGCCGCTCGGGCGACTAAGAATCTCGCGTCTCTCGCAAGCTGACGGAGAGAGAAGGAGAGAAATCGCAACCTCCGGACTCTCTGTCTGGTGAGTGCGCGGAACCGTTTGAGGGGAATGCGAACGAGACCTTTTCAAGTACTTGGTAGTTTTCGATACTATAAAGCTGAGAGAGCCGAACCGAGCTAAACTGAACACGAAACTGTGCTGCCGATCTCTCGTGTTCCGTTCTCCTCCTCCTCCCGCCTTGCCCGCCGCCTCCTTCTCTTCTTCTTCCTCCACCTCCACCACCGGGTTCTCTCCTTCAGCTCCTCCTTCTACTCGCGGTACGCGTTCGGTTCCCGTTCCGCGCCGCGTTCCCGTTCCGTTCTCCTTCTTCGTCGATCTCGCGCCTCGGCATCGACGTTCTCCACAGGTGCAACAAAGCGGAGAGAAAGGACGACGGGGCCAACGATGCGAGGAGGGGTCCCCAGCTACCACCTCTCTACAAAACGCGTCGCGCGTACTGTAAAAAGCATATCGCCCGAGGCGTTACATCGCGAACCAGTAAAACTTGTCGTACGCCGACATCGCGCGCTCATCGATCGTAGCCGAGAGAGACCGAGCTGCGAACGCGATTGCCGGTCTCGGGGCGATGCGCGGCGCGAAGGTGACGAAGAGGAGGATTCAGGGATGGCGAGCCGGACGCCGCGACGCGCGCCTCCGCCGACGTTAACGAGATCACTAGGGCTGCCGCTGATCCGCAAGAATTCGGACCCGGTCAACTGGAAGCTGCCTCCCTCTCCTTCCCTCAGTCTCTCATCATCTTAGCCCCCGGTTCCCCCGACAGTCATCTACGGCTCCACGAAGCTTATTAGACATTTACACTATACTTGTTTAAATTTACAAATGTTACATCTTGTCAAATGCGCCTAAGGAGCTTATAAACGTGTCCAGGAGGAGCCTTTAAACTAAATCGCTAAAAATTAACCCTTAATTCACACGATTGGGTCATTTTCGTGTTCTATGTATTTCTTTTCTTCGAAATACTAGAAGGAGCTGGCTAAATAATAGTCTCTATTCTTCCTTTTTTTAAATATACAATTTTAAATACATTCTAAAGATGTTAACCCTAATCAGTATTCGCGGGTCCAGTGGATCAGGACATTTTCTGTAACTACAAAAATTGTAAAAAATTGTTTATGATAAATGTTTTTCACAAACTTATATAATCATATTCTTCAGATACCGATCTAAAAAAAGGAATCGTTCAGTTAACTTTAATCAAAACATTAATTTAAAGTACACCGGACCTGTGAATATCAGTTAAGGAAATTTTGGAGCAAATTTATTTGACCAATTAGGATCCAAGTATATATAAGAATCACTTAATAATTTTTGTATACTTGTAAAATGATGAAAATTAATCCGGGACACGAACAACCTATCATATCACGTATAATAAAAGATCGAAAAATCATCGTGTGTATTAAGAATTACTAACTAAATAAGCAAAAAAAAAAAAAGATTTGTACTGAAGACAGTGCAATTTCTCTAAAACTTTGCGTTATTTCGCCACTTAGAACTATTTGATTCGCTTTATCGCCGGTCCCAGAATTGTTCTCACGTACTGTAGCAGGTCCTTGCATTTCTGTTCCGTATTTGTATCTTCAGAACTACCCCAAATAATCAAACCATCAGCGCCGAGGTTGGCGATCGTGTTGAATGTGTTCTCCGTGTCTTTCTGTGCACATAAATTCTCGATAAATCTTCTTGACACCAGTGTCTGATGCAAACATTTCAAGGAGCTCAGAAAGACTCACCTCACTTAAGAAGTTATCTCTGTTATCCTGATACTTGAACCAGTAATAGGGAAGAACTTGTTGTTTGCGCGGAATTTTGTCTGCCATACGTAGCGCCTCGGATACTCTACCCTTCACGAAGCCAACCCGATCTTCCCCTCTGATCTCCTGTCTCAAGTACACGGAAGACAAGTGCGCGTCCTCGAGCGTGAAGAGCCAAGACATTCTACGGAAATTGTTGCTCGTGATTACCTCCGACATTGATGCTCGGCTGCTTCTTTATCGTTTCGCGTGATTAGATAACGCGCCGGTAACGAAATTGCAGGTCGCTTTTTAACTCTCTGATGCCCTCGACATTGACCCAATTCGGTATAAACACCGTAACCGTAATCTTAATACGTTTAAGATCCGCAATCATCTTATATTCGGGGTGATGTCATTATCGTAAATCAGCCGCTGAATTAAATACTATATACATACAGTCAGTCCCATAATAGCGTATACATCATATTTTTAAGAAATTTATGCATAAGAATTAAAAAAAAATTTTTTTAAGGTGCAATGGTGCTATTTTATTAACATTTAATAGTCTATTTCATCATTACCTAATATGTTGTCTAGTTGCCATTGTTCTTCATTGTGTTTGATTAGAATGACAACGACTGGTACGTCATATTTTCAACTAGTTTTTTAACGTAACTGATTGTGAGTGATAGCGATCTTATATATATTTGCAAATTTGATAACTACAGTATAACTGCTTCACAGATTATTACAGCGTATCCTGTATAGATCACAACAACGCTTATTTAAGAGTAAATTCCTAAGATAATGTTAAGACGAAAATTCTAATATTCAAAATATCAAGACTATAATAATTTTTAAATTATAAACATTTAAAGTTAACGAATATCATACAGCCTAAAATTTGTTCATTCAAGTATGATACATATTATGTATATAATATAACGCAAAATGCTAAAAGCGAAAGTTAATAGTCGTCTCTTGATAATATTGATGTGATGATTACGTATGATAAGATAACATTATTAATATTTCTAATTATACTAATAATAATTATTATATTATATTATATAATTATTATGATCTCGACACTTTGGTATTAGAATTTTTATCTCTAAATGACTTCGAAAATTTCCTCCTAAACGTTGTTACGGGACACCCTATATATACCCATACAGCATAGACTTTCAAAGGACGTCCTAAAGATGTCCAGAGGATTTTCAGGACTCTCGGATAAAATGTGTCGTGTGATAATATTTTCCTTGAAGCTTTCTCTTCATAAAAGCTCAAATCTTTATATTTGATTTCCTTCAAGTGATATACCGGCCAATCCAAGATTATGATGTCATTTTCGAGTTTCCAGGCGATTCAAGTAGTTGTTAAAATATATAAACAACAATGGGGACTGGATGGCATATTAAGCAATGACAAAATAGGCCATTAAATGTATTTTAAAATAGTACATACTTTTTTTTAAATTTTAATAAATTAAATTTTCTTGCAGATGTGGGGCAGACTGTAAATTCTTTCACCTGACGCAGCGGTGAAGCGATAACACGACCCCGATGTCAAGCTGCGAGGATCGCGAGATCATCTCGAGATTAGCACATTCCGTGTAAAATTTAATGTAATGACGCGCTTACATATGTATATGCTACTAAATTATACGCACGCTATCGGATGTTGAATTATTGATTTTCGTCGGTACATATATGTACTCACTCGTTGTTCTCTGCCATAGTCTGACGATTGCAATGTGCAGTAGGTTGGCCAGGAGTCTGATTAAAGCAATACGGATAACCGTAATAACCCCATTTGGCTTTAGACCGAAGCTTCTTTGCCATATTCAGTGTCTCTTCCATAAATATTCTGGCGTATTTTTCGAAGCGACGCTTCGCTTCTTTTTTAACGGCGTTCTCACTCCAAAGGGGATGTCTCATACGTTCTAGCTTTATAGACTGAGTTTTGTAGGGCTCGAGAGAGGCCCAATTTTGTCGAAAGATCGGCCTCCAGCTCTCAAAGTCTATCACGCCAATACCGCTAAACGACCCGTCTGGAATTTGTTTAATCAAGTGCTTCTGGAACATCTCGAGGTGTTTCTTCAGATCACCCTCTTGAGGAACACCGCCATTTCTTTTTGTTACGGTTCCTTAAAATACAAGGATTAATTAAATTGGTAATCGAAGCAACGTAAAAATTCTAAAAATGTTCAAAAAGTCAAGATCGCAAAATTAATATTAATAAAAGAAATATTTTCATATCTGGCAGATACCAAGGAAGGACGACAAATTACTTGAAAACTAATAAAACTAAAAATACTCGATTGTATTGTAGTATATCTAATAGATATGCAAGAAGGTCAATGAATTAAACAAAATATTTTAAAACATATTTGCTTAGGCTTATAAATAGATATCTAAAAAATTATTTAAACTATTTAAAAATGCCCCCCTTTTTATAGATACCCAGCAGACATCAACTAACAGTAAAATAATTGTTAGTTTTAATTTCCTACTCAATAATATATATAACTGCAATGTAACGTATATAATAGTTACGTAATAGTTAAATTATTGCGTGGAAAATTATAATTGCGGCGGTTATATTGTCACGGCTATTGGAAAATCGAATATATCACGCATATATACGCAGCACATATTTGGTTAGCTTGTACACATATGAGTGTACACACAGAGAGCTTGCCTGTGCACAATGCACACGGCCTTTCGTTCGTGGTAACACAGACAATAGGCATAGACCTTTTAAACTCAGCTTTAGCTTCTTTTGTCTATTGACTATTTACATTCAGACATTTAAATAGAGTAGGATAAAAATTTCGTTATTTTGTAATATATCGATAATCACGAGGAGGTAATCACTTAATGTAATTATGGGACAAAGTTCTCGAAATCATTATAAAATTCATGAAATCTCTATGTATAATCCAGTAATTATATATGCAACCACGAGAAATCATTGCATACCCTGGTGAAAATTTTTCTCAAAATTTTTCATATAATTTTTCAGAATTTCTATATAATTTTATAACTTTCTCATACTTTTTATACGAATTTGAACACCTCAGAAAATCTACATCTTTTCTCAGAATTTTTTATATGTTCATGAAATATCGTAAGATTTCTAAGATTTTTTGTAAGTATAATTTCTGATGAAATGTTATAAAATCTAAAAAATTAAAAAATATTTTTTAAAAATTATGGAGGGGAATAAGAAATTTCAGAATATTTCAGAATTCACTTGTATGAAAAATTCTGAGAGAAGATGTAAACTTTCCGAATATTTTTGAGTATTTCTGAAAAATGTTCCAATTCGTATAAAAATTATGAGAAAAATTTTCACCAGGGTAATATTAAATAAAATCGTATTTTACCAAATGACTTCATATGTAGTGAAAAAAATTACTTGTAATCAGATGAAATCATGTAATCTGTGGGACAATATTTCAGCTAGTGGTTACCCCCTTGGATAATCACATTAATTCGACTTTTAAACAGCTACAATAATAAATTGCTCTCCGAAAAATTAATCGATTATTTAAAATTCTAAGAACGTATAGACATAAATATAATAGCGATTAGCAACAAGAAGGATACATGAAATATTATAATATTTTGTGAGGAGAAGA